CTTGCTGCTGCCTCGAAGCGCGTTCTGCTCCGCGTTTTCCTGGCAGAAGCGTGTAACCCAGGTGAAGGCAGAGAAGGGAGGGTTGTTTTTATGAATGGGACTCTTTGAGGTTAATTAGCTATGCAAATTCAAGCAGTTCATTCATGTTTTGGTTTGGTGGTTTTTTTGGGTTTGTTTTTTTTTTTTTTTTAAAAAAAAAAACTAAAAGCCATCTTGTATTCCCCTCTAGGCTGATTGGAGTCCAGATCCCGAGGAAATCTCCAGATCAAATGCCCAGTAAATAAAACACTGAGCTAAGACTTGTGGAAGAGCTGCAGAATGGATGGATTTTATGACCAGCAAGTGCCTTACATGGTCACCAATGTGAGTGATCGGTTCAAAGTTGGTGTTTATAAACTTGACTCCGACTTATTTCTGTGGGGGAGTTTTGCAGCCAGAGTTATCTGCTTTGTTACCGCTGTAGGGGCGACTCTTCATCTGGGAGCTTTGCCTGCAAGATGAGCCTATCTTCTTAGTTATTTCAATAAAGCATCATGTTCTTTTAAAGACAGTTTTGGGATGATTAAAAAATCATGCACATGATTAGTGGATGAGAGAGACAAGAGCAGCAACAGCTGCATTCAAAGTTTCTGGCTGTGTTTGCCTGCAACGCTCAGAAGAATGAAGTTGAGGCAAACGTTAACATTTTTTTTTCTTTTTTTTTTTTCTTTCAGGACTTTGCAAACAATGTTATAAGTAATGCAGGGAAACAAAGCAGTCTATTATAATCTCGTAACTGGGTTCTCCTGCGTAGCTTATGCAGAGGAGATTTATGTGCTATTGTGTAGGTTTGTGTACTTTAGATGCTAAAAATACGTGGTTGGTATTATGTTGCTGCTTGAACACATTATATATGTATCTGTACAAATAGATGTCTACATAGATAGATAGAAATGTGTTGCATTTAGACACAGGAATCTTTTGGAGGATATTAGGTGCTCAGCAACATCTTCTGCTAGAAATTGGAGGCTGCAAGACAACTGTTTCCCTGTTTGAAAATGTAAAGAATTTATGCCGGCTTTGAGTGTTCTTGATTAAATGGAAAAAAAAAAAAAAAAAAAAAGAAAGAAAAAAACCCAAACCCTCAGATTTCTAAAGTAACTGATCTTTCCTGTTTATAGAATCCGCGTGGGAGAAACTGTAATGAGAGACCGACAAATGTCAGGAAAAGAAAATTCATTAACAGAGACCTGGCTCATGATTCAGAAGGTGAGGGCTTGTTCCCCCCCAGCCCTTTACAAACTAATGCAGAGAAGCTTTTTGAGAGGTCTTTATTTATTTATTTTGGAGATAAATATATCTAGATCAATCTGAATAAACAAGACAAGAAAATTGCATTTACTACTGCAAAACAAACTGGCAAAGGCAATAACCTGATAAACTTGATATTCTTTCTTTGACTTACTCTGTTGCATTTTAGGTACTGCTGCACGTGTGGGTGTCGTGCACTGAGGCCAAGCCTTTGCAGCACCTGACACAAGTCATGGCACCTGGCTTTTTCACCTTCAGGCCTCTTGAGATTCAGGGCTTTCCTTGTTCCTCCCATCTTTCAACATCCTTTTCACCAGTGGTAGCAGGAACGAGAATGCTGGTGTGGAGACTGTTGGTTTTCACCCTAGCTTTACTGTGGGGTTAGTAGTCAGGCTCCTGGTGTCTGGTAGGCTGTTTCTAGTGCTGGGTAACACTGGTAGCGTTAAAAATCCTGGGAGTTTAGTTAAGGAAGTCTAGAGTGGATGAAGTTTTGGAGGGCCAAAGATTTGTAACTTAGTCCCATCAGTAGCCACTCACACGATTGTAGCTTGAGAACTGTAGTCTAGCAGTAGCTGTTAACACTTCTTTAGGTTACAAGGTCAGTATAGATGACGCCTACACCCCTGTAAGTACATAAGACATATAGGAAGCTATATAGGGGACTACATCTTACCCCTATATAAGTCTTATCAGGCTGAAGACACATTGATACACTTTTCAAAATCCCTACTTACTTCTTTGGAAAAGTTTATTCTAGGGTAGATTGAAAAGAAAACAACTTTCTAATTTTCAGTTTCTAACATGAACATGAGGTATCAGTCCACAGAATAAATGAATAGCCTCTGTCATTTAAGTGTATGTAAATAGTTATCTGTCAGCATTCATAGAAGAGGAAGTCTCTCTCTCAAAATACAATAAATTAAAAATAAACCATTTGTCAGTTCAAATATCCTACTTAGTCTTAGTAAACAGAATTTTCATAACGGAGTTTCTGAGCTTTGCAAGTAAGCCAAATGCTGCTCTGGTTTACACCCATTATAAGCAATTGGTTTCAGTGAATTGCAAAAAAAGATAAGCTGCAGCAAAACTCAGTCCATGGAGAAAGTGGTTTCACTTTAAAGAATTGCAGTGAGTACAGCAGAGAGGAAATAGTGGTGATTCTCTTGTCATACAAAGTAAAACATAAGGGGAAGTACAAAAGATTTCCCATTTCTCTTTGCTATTGCAGCATCTCAGGTCTTTGCTTCGAAATTTTTGTATGATAGTTATGACCCTACTAATAAAAATACTCAGTCATTGCTCAGGCAGGGCTCCTGTTGAAGTCCGAGAGAGCTTTATCTGGGGCAGATATTGCAGGAGGAGGCCCAAATTGTATAAGGAGAAATAGTTCACCTGTAAGAAAGATGGTAATTTTTAACTTCTCTATGTATTGCTGAATTAGTATTTTATACTGCAGAGCTTGGTTAAGATTCTGGTTGTTATCTCGAGAGTTGATAAAATAATAGAGTAAGTACGTACTTCTTTTTTTATTAATAGGTGTAGAAAAATCATTAACTGCAACCAGAAAATACCTACTTTGTCTGTATGTTTGACTGCCAAAATAGAATTAATGTATGTTGTTCTTCAGGAAAAATATATTTTCGAACATATTTTAGTGTTATGAAAAGATTAAAGGTGTAAGCCTCGCATCCGTGTCTTCATCTTTTTGCAGAACTCTTTCAAGATCTGAGCCAATTACAGGAGACATGGCTTGCAGAAGGTAAGGGAAAAAACTGCTTGTAAAAAGAGGAAAAACAACTCTGGAGGGAAAAAAAAAAAGTCCTGAACTTGCTGTCTTAATGTTCAGCCCAATTAATTGAGCTCTAAAAGAGCCACCTCATGTGTCATGCATACATTAGAGCCTCTGATGAGTTTGTCTTTGGGGACTCTGGGGCTGCTCTACCCAGTGTCATCACAAATTACCAGGAGAAATTGCTTCCAGCTCACAATCACATCTGCTTTTGGCAAGAACTAATGCACCAAGACTTCAAGTTCTAAGCCTCTGTTCAGATTTTAATTGCAATTGATCAGGTTTATATTATTGTACCTCGAGAGACTACATACAGCCAGAACTGGGCTTGCTGTTTCCTTTAGAGCAGCACATATAATTATTTGGTGTTCTGGTGGAGTACTTTTCTGATGGCAGAAATTAGTTTCTCTGGGTTCATCGGGACGGGATGCTTCAAGATTTAAGTGCAAGTGTCTTCTTTCCACCTTGTTCACAACACAGAACGTTAGGTGTGTATGGAATACTTAAAAAGTACTATTTCTTTTTTTTTTTTTTTTTCTGAAACCTCTAAATATTTTGCATGTTATTTTTGTCTTCATATTTGTAGTTGTGAGATTGTGTACTGGGGGATTAGAAAACTGGCATCGGTCTGTTTTACACCTGCTTGTGCTTTTAAGTATTTCAAATAATCTTGCAGAGCACATTCTACTGGAGAGGGAAGGTTTAAGAACAATAATGTAGAAATCTGAATTCGGAGTAGCTGTTGAGAGATTCATTTAACAATAACAAAAAATGAGCTGCTGCATTAAGAGAACTTTAACAAAATGCAAGGTAGCTTTATGCTTGTTGAAGTGCATTTGTTCTCTTCAGCAATATTTTCTGGGTTTTTTTTCTTTGATAATTACAGTACTGTTTATTTCAAGAATAACGATTTTTATGCATTGTCTGTTCTTAATATTTCTGGTTGAAATTTTTATGTAAACTTCTGCATCTGAAATAAACATGATTTTGATGCAAGTTAACATAATCTCTCCAAATTTATCCTGATTTAAATGAATGTCAGTATTCACATATGTTTAATTTTTATCCTGTACTGGACTGTGCACAGTTGTTTATAGAATTTATGTTATGCTTTTTTGGGAAAGGAGGAATGTTGGGGTGAACTGCTTGCTGCTGGTTTTCATAGAAAGAGGGAAATATTGCTGATGACTACTTGCCTGCATACTGATTTTGTTTCAACAGCTTTATATATAGTTAGTCAAGTTCTTAACCTATAAGTAAGCTGTGGGGTATTGTTTATTTTGCTGACAGTTTTATTCTAGGATTATTTTTAGCATGTGGTTATTCTGTATGGAATCAAAAAGTCCTCTTTAAATTAATGGATCAGACGATATATATTTATGAATTAATATGGTTCTTTCCTAATCACTGAAAACAGGATGTCCTGTACTAAGATAATTTTTTGTAGTATAATGATCAGATACAACTGTAACTGTTTCCCTGTGGTAATTTTCCTAAGGATCTCTTTATTTTGTATCACCTCATTCATTCTAACAAGCCAGAAGTATGTTAAAATACTACTCAAAAGATACTATTTTTTTGATGGAGAGGAGAACTTTCAGTTTGATTTTGCACTGGCATGGATGTTTTTGTTTCTGAAAATGATTAAATTTCTTTGATCGTGTCAGAAAAATACAGGCAGATTCATAATGCATGTGCAGATAATAATGTAAGTTTGAAAAATAATATGGAATGGAAAACTGTTCTAATCATTTCTGTAGGTACATAAATTACTGTAATGGCAATTTTTATTCTGGAGGCACTGCTTATTTTAGACCAGAATGAATTGTTTGAAAGCCTTCTTTTCTCTTTAGCTGAGTCTATTTCACTTAATAAATTTAGATAGCTTTTCAGAGAGAAAGGTGTCTTAGTCCTGTGTCAGCTAGGTTGAGGAACCTTTGTAAAAGCAGATAGCATCATCTGGTAAGTATTTAAAAATGAAAAAAAAAAAAAGTTGCCTTTTCATGTAGCAGAGGCTAATAAAGCTAAATAATGTTATAATTACATTTTTCCACAGCATATTACAAATAAATATTACAGATTTTTCAGTGTTCTAGGAATATTTTAAGAAATCTGTGTGTTTCAGGCCACACCATGGTTTTAGCTGTTCCATAAAACACAAACTTTGCACTAAAAGGCTAAACTAAAACTGAAATAAAAAGTCAAGATGAGAAAATCAAATATTGAGCTATTAACTTGATTCCAAATTTTATTAAAAAAAACCTACCCAAAACAACTTTTGGTAGTCTTTATAATATACTAGTGTTTGAGGATATTGTAGGTCTGCTCAAATGTCTACATGATTGAGCTTAGTCAGGAAACAGATTTTGAAATCAGACTTGTTTACCCATTGCTAGATGTGTCCATTTATGTTCTTCTGGACCTTCATAGGCTAGAAAGCTGCCAATTTGGCAGCATCAGTAATGTTTACATATTTCTTTTCATAATGCTCTGGAGCCAGGGAAATGACCATGAAATTTTAAAACATCTTGACCCTTTTTAAGAAAAGCAGTGGCAGCTGACCAGGTTTCTCCCACGAGTTCAGATCCCCACCAGGGAGTAACCAGGTCAAAAATCTACTTATTAGTTAGGAGAAGAAAGTGAGTTGCGTTTTATGACAGACAAAAAATGTGTGTGGATTTTTTTTGTTTTGGTTTTCCTGAAGCTATCCTTACTACATCACATATTTCAGCCTGGAGATTTTTACAGTTAGTGTCACCTGTGACAAGTTGGTCGTAAACAAGTAAACACAAAAGAAATGTATTCTTTTCTGATTGAAAATGGTGGGAGGTTCACATGTATTAAGGAATCCAGAATCTAAACAATTCAGTCACCTCTTTAATATTTTATTACTCCATAATTAACAAGCTGAATACCACTTACAGAAAACTTAGAAATGTATTCCACTACCTGCATACTAGATTTTTATGGAAATTAGTTTTGCTTCTTACTCTGTGTAGTATTAAATAAGTAGGAAAGAATCTAAATTATTTTGGTGTAAAACTTACTCTGAATAAGGTTCCCTCATGTCAGTTGTTATGCAGGACAGAAGGTAGATTGTAACTGTTTCCTGATGCCCTAAATTGGAAGTGGGAAGCCTTTACTAATTGTTTCAACCTTCAAACTTGAAAGGAAATAGTTAAAAATGCCTATTGCTAACCAAGGCAAATATTATTCAGCTACTATCTTTTGTTTTATATTTAAATAACTTGATGACAACATTTTGTCATGATAGTATTAGAAAATGACTTTATTGGTTCTGTATATTTGGAATCAGATTGGTTTTGGCAGATAGCAATTGTTCAGTGACTTGAAAAAAATGGTTCAAATATTAATCTAATGTTATCCCGTCATGGTAGCTGTTGCTTCTTATTCTGGAATAAAAAGAAGAGAGAGAACAAATTCTTAGTGAGTGAAAGTTTCCTTTCCATTGTGAAAGCATTTGGGTTTGGGGAAATAATAGATTAACAAAACCCCAGATTTTTATTTAAAATTAGTCCTGCAGATACTAGTTGCTCTTAGAGCTTGTTAAAGATACATAAAAGGCATCCCAAGCAAAGACAAATAGTGAATTTATGCACTAGATCTGCTTCCTAAAGCAACAGATAATACGTTTCTCAGATGGTAATAAGCTGAAAAATAAAACATAATATTCTTTGGGTCACTTGAAAAAATATAAAACGGTGAAGTGAACAGTAAGTGGTCTGAAATAATAGCTACAGGTAACGGGTTCATACCTCTACTGCAGCTTAGCTAAATTGAGTGGGTGGCTACTACAAGCTACCAGTATTTAAAAGCCAGCTCTTGGTATCTGCAAGTAAGTTAATTCTCTCAAATAATTAATACCCAAATTTGGCATGAACTTTAGGAAACAAGTTTCTGCCCTCTGTTCTCCTATCATGAAGGATACACCAGCGTCGCGGTGATGCCTAAGCTAGTGTTGACTTCTAGTTTACTTCTTAAATGAGGAGGTATGAAAATGAGTAGTTTCTAGTTCTCAAAGGATTATTTTTAATTAAAAGAAGTAGTGGATCTTCAAATATTAGTCTAGTTAAAGTGACTTAAGTCAGTGAAGATATGTAGCAGCTTACTCTGGCTAACTAGCTTTCTTCTGCCAAAAAGTTGTAAAATTTACCCAGTGTAAGGCAGATGTGATGTAGCTATATTCAAGAACTATCCACATCTTTATAGGAGCAAAAATAGTCAAGAAATGATAATTTAATACCTCCATGTCTGAAATCTGTCTGATGGGGACAGACGCTCTAAAAAGCAGTGAAAATATTTTAATTTTGGAATTTGTAATACAGAGAATAGCTGCTTTTTTTTTTTTTTTCCCCCTTTGATTCTAGTGATCTGACAGATTTGGCTTTCAAATACTTGTAGCTCTTGATCTTAAATATCTATGCACAAAAAAAGGCGAAAAGTTAGATTAGGCAAAATGGGGGGGAGAAAGGGGGTGCTCTTTTAAAAAGAAATCCAAAAGAAATAAACCCACCAGAAATCTACAAGTCTGAAGGTTTGTGTAGGAATAAAGGTTTAAATGTTTTTCTTGTTTGCTGGAAAAGTAGATGCCTTTTACTCAAAATAATAATTTTCAAAGGGATAGTGGGGTTTGTGAACCATGAGGGACGTAGCAAAATGTTAAATGTGAGTGTTCCTTTTAAGCTAACTTTTTTCTCATTTTTAGTATAGCAGCAAATGAAGAGCAGATTCTGCAAACCCATCTTCATATTCCTAGGGATTATTCACATAAGGAAGAATTTTGAGATCTGGAGCTAGTTTTGAACTGCATTTAAGTTTATTAGTCAGAGCATCTAACTTTATGTAAAAAGGGTTTTGGGTTGTTTTGACAGCAAATCTGGTGCTTATGGGAAATAATATTTTTTACCATCTTGAAATTTGTCACTGTTTTGCCTTCTGAATGCTCCTTTGTTAGAAACAGTTGTTCCTGTGGGAAAGAAAAAAAAAAACCAACAACCAAACACCCCCCCGCCCCTCCCCAGCTCTTTCAGGGATACTTAATATTTATACAATCTTTCAGATATTCAGAAGTAACAATGAATCAAAGAAAACTCAATAGAGTCATTACTGTTGAGGCCTGAAGTCTTATTTTAGCTGAAGCCAAAATACTGGTGTTCATATATAATGCCCTGTCAATTTCAATTTCTTTTGCCACTCTGAATAAATCATTGATATTTTAAAATGAATTGCTCTTAGCTCTAAAAGTGAAGCTTGAGGTCAGAGAACACAGTACTGCAGGAAGTGTTGTGCTATCCAAAATAAAGTTTTAAGTGAAGCAAGGAGGTTTGCAGCTTCTTGTTTTTCTGGAAAGTTTCCGGTTTTTAACAGGAACACCTTTCCCTGGAGTGCAGCTGAGCTTTTGGAAGCAGTCTGTGACTGGGAGAAGGAAGAGTTAAATTTAAGCCCTTTATAGTTCGCCTAACTTTATTAAATACGTTCCTCAGCAGGTCTGTGCTGCGTCTTGAGACAAAGCAGTGAAATCAGTGTGTTTATGCCTAAAGTTCAAGTTTACTTTGCTGTAGCTTTCTGGAAGGGTGTGACATGAAAAGCTTGTGGTTGGGGCCACATGGTTCATGCTGGACTGTGTTTTTGTGAATGGAGGCAGAACTCCAGTTCTGACTGCTTGTCTTGAGGAATTGCTTCGGAGATCAGCTGTCTCATTCACTGGCAGAAAGAATGACTCATACATCTTCTGCCTTGTTTGGCTCCAGGTCATTGTTACAGTGGATAGAGCTGGTTTTAATTAAATATTAACTCCTTTTGTCCTGGGTGCTTGTTAATGGGGACTTTTTATTTTTGTTTACTTGCAGTGAAAGCAATCTAACAGGCCCTAGTTTTAAACTTTTTTTTTTCCCCAAATCGCTTTCCCTTTGCAAATGAGCTGTCAGTTCAGCTTTTCAAAGGCCTTTTAAAGCTCTAAAAACTACAAACAAGTATTAAGTATTTTTGTGCTGTGAATGTTTGCTTTTGGCAAACTGATTTTAACTCGGTAGGCAGTGAAACTGTAAAATCTAAACTGATAACATCCTCAAGATCATCGTTAACATTTCTGTACACTTCCCAAATCCTCTTGAGACATTATAGCTATAATCAGAAGAAAAAGAAAACTTTTGGTAATAATCTAGACTGAGCTGGATAGTTTATGCTGCACATGTCTACTTCAGGAGTTTGAGACTTGATGGCTTTCAGTGTGGAATGAACTAATGTAGCTGCTTCTGCTATTAGCAGTAAAAGCCACGTGCTTAATATCCTTCAAAACCTTTTATTAGTCTTTTGGAATATACTTGCCTTCTCAAACCCCCATAATTAAGTAGCTCAGGGAAATATTCTCATTCAGTTAGATGATCATTTCAGATATCTTTTTCAATTTTCATCTGAATGGCAAAGTGAAAAAAAAAGTTTTGGTGATTTATGCATTGTGTCTTGTGTTGAGTGTGTTAACAGAAGACCAATGAAGACTTTATGGCAGCCTTGCTGAATTGTAGTATTTGTGAATAAAAGAAAAGAGGAAATGAATGGCTGTACGTATATAAATGTGCAGACAGTTGCAACACTGCGAGTTACATTTTCCTTTCAGACACTCAGGTTGAAGTGTCTTTACCTGACTGTGTAATTTGCTACAAAGTCTGCCTGTAATTATCCAAATTCAAGGTACAAAAGTCCGCTTCCCTTTGCGTAATGGGATGATGTGTCCCAACCATTTGCCCTCTCACAGCAAGATGCTGGTGGAAGAAGTCTGTGTATTCAGCTGATGATAGTTGCCTGCACTTCTGCAGTATGATCATGCGCGGGTTTGAGTTCTGCTAGTTTAAAAATAATACCAGATTAAACAAAGGAATAATTCAAGTTCTCATTTCCAATAGTTAGCAGGTCCTTTTAATTTCTTTGTATAGGCTTGTGGGCTCATTTCTAAGGTACTGATGCTACTAAAATTAGATTCCAGTAGGAAATGTATGTTCCTGGGTTAACATTTTGGAAGTTGTTATTTGTTTTGTTTATATTTGGCAGGGTTTTAAACACTTCTTAACTTGCTGTATTCCTTTTCCTACAGAGGCTTTTAAGACTATCTCAATATTTTATTTAAAATATATTTTGACAGTGTAGTCTCCACCTATTTCTAGAGTACTGATAAAATGATGCGCCTTGATCTCTGGTAAATATGCCTTCATAAATTTTGGGGATCCATGAATGAAGTATATTTTTCTTGTTTACTGCAGACCAGGTCAGGGGTAATGACAGTATCTCTAAAGTAATATACTGGTTTTCCATGACAATTCAACCAGGTGTATTTTATTTTTTCTTGCTTTTTGGCTGGGAAAAAAAAAGACCTCATTTACTGATACATACACATTATCTCTACAACAGATTTGTTCTGAAATAAGTCAAGTTAAACTGATAAAACCAGAATAAAGCATCAGTAAAGCAGTCCAGTACGCAGAGTACGCTCTAAGAAGTTATATAATACTGCTGTCCCAGTTCTGCAATCACTAAATGTAGCCTCCCGATTTCAACAGGAGGGTTTTTGTTTTCTTTTAGCCTTTTCAGATATCCCAGATTCACAAATTAACATATATGTATATGTATGTATAAAAAAAATGCATGTGCGTGTGTAAAAAATTAGAGTCATACTAGCCTCCTTGCTGCATTTAAAAATGATAGCTGGCTTAAGAAAAATGTGTGGGATGTGTCTTCTGTAAATGAGAAATTACTTGATACAATTACTTTAACTCTGAATGTATTCACAAACCCTTCAAAAAACAACTGGAAATGTAAGAAATCCTTAGGAACTGATTTTTAAGTAGGATACCTTGATTTCATAATTGGATTCTTCTGTGACAGTCAAATATTTGGCATTTTTGTAAGGAAAATGCCTAACATTTGCATGTAGTGAATTGCATGAAATGTCAGAAATTGCAGAGTGTTAGTATTTAGGCTCATATTGTCCCTGAGTTCATTTCTGGTAAAAGTCCTGTGGTTTCACTGGAGGAAAGAGAAATTTAATGCATCAAAAATACTGGGAATATTTGGTTTGGTAAAATACGTGTTTCATATAGCTTCAAACTTTGAGGAGCTAACATGTCCTCGATGGTACTGTTTTCTTCTAAAAGGATAGGTTATTAAAAAAACTGAACAGCAGAGCAACAATAGCTGTGCTTTTTTTCCAGAGAAAAATACACAAAGTGTAATTAGCATTACTTACACTTCTTTTCAAATCTGTGTTTGCAGATTTCCCAAGGTCATTTGTTCTTAAGGGGTATTTGCTGCAATTAAGACAGTAGGACTTTAAACATTCATTTTAAAATGAAGAGCAAATAATTTTTTGGTATAATGAGCCTGATTCTGAACTCTTTACCCAGGAAAAAAATTCTCAGTTAAGTCATTAGAAATACATCCTGAGTAAGAATTAGAGGTCTGGTCCATGAAGAATACTGTAGTGCACATTCAAAATAATTGTGAGTAATTATAATTAAATACGTATTTTTAATTCAAACAAATTCTGTTGAAACTGGTAGCAGTTGCACGTATGTAAAGGGGACCGTATGCTTCCTAAACTTAGAAAGTGTTATGAATGGCATTAAAGTTATATTTTATCACTTAATGTATTTAATGGTGTGATAGTCACTGTTTCGATAAATGATTATATAACCAGTATTTACCTCTTAAATCTTGTTGGGTAACCAGATCATGGCAAATGTTAACTTTTAATTAAGATCATATGAATTATTTGTTCATTTTTAGACAAGAACTGTATAAATTGAAGTATTTTCAAACAGATAATTTTATGCAGCTTTGTTGTGATGATTGTAGTTAGTGTATGTTGAGGACAAGATGACGAAGTTCAGAGACGGTAAGCTGGATCTCTCTCAGGATGTTCTCAGAACTAGTCGTTCTCCTAGGATGCCGCTTCTCAGCGTAATGTTCTGCAGTTACGCGGATATATTCACCTATACTCTACGTTCCGTGGTATTTCAGTTTAAATGAGTTTACAACACAGTGTGAGAGAGGGCCAATGCCTTAGATATACAATGAAAAGGAACTGCGGTACCGCAGACACAAAATTATGTATCAGCAGACCGTGAAACGATTGTATTTTATAGCTCAGGTTTGTGATGAAAGTTTCCTAGAAGTGAAGATGATCTTACACAAGATGTTAATAATGATTCTTGCTTTAAGTAAATCTTTTTTTTTTGATGTCTGAAATTTTGTCATTGAACCAGGAATTCTGTGGTCTGGTAAAATAGTTGGAGTATTTAAAACAATAACAAAAAAACCCTACTGTGTTGGCTGACTGCAATGAAAAATGGGAATTGCTTTTAAGTAAGCCGAAGGTGTGGTTCTTTGGGGTAAAAGCTGCATAAATGTTAAACACGCTAGGATTTGGTTTTGTGCAGACTTTCCGTGGAGATATTTTGAAAATGAGCACTGATGGGTTTTACCAGTGGCATGGTAGGTCCAGACCCTCGTGCAGGGAGTGAGACAGGGCCAGGGCCAGTGTCAGCCTTCACAACCTCCCATCCCCATCGCTCTGTGCTGGGGCTGCTCTGGACTCGCACTGCACCGCACAGATTCACCCCGGAATTTATCTGATACTAAAATGATGTGCTTGCCTGATTTTCATACCCAACAATGAGAAAAAAAATCCGAGTTTTAATCTTGGCTGTGCTTCAAACTAAGCACAAGAGTCTTTATTGATGCTTTAATGGCTTCTTTTAATTCTTTCCCTGTTTTTGTTTTTTTTGTTTGTTTTTTTTGTTTTTGTTTTCCTTTCTTCAGCTCAGGTACCTGACAATGATGAGCAGTTTGTGCCAGACTATCAGGCTGAAAGTTGTAAGTATAGTATGAATCATCACTTTCTTAAAAAATATGTATTTGAATATTTATATTTGGGTCTTCATATTTATTATTTATTGTGTCATCTGTGGTCATGTGATAGCTCCTTTCGCCAGTTGGTGACATCAGTGCAATGAATAGATGAAGCAAGTGGCGTTTTGACATGCAGCCAGAAGAAGTTGTTTGGGCTGAAGGTATAACCTTCGGCAGGGGGCCCTCTCCTGTAATTCCCCCCCC